CCTAATAGGAGTCACTGGCACTTCTAACATTACTAACACAAGCACACAGCTTCATAAAACATCTTCGTTACTATGCCTGCGAAAAAGGATCAGATAACAATATAGTCCACTTCTTGCTTCTGAATTTGAAACAATATTTATAAGGATATTGTAGCTGAAAGAATCTGATTGTGCCTGGTAACCTGGCTAGGGCTGTTTCTGGCTCCTTGGAAAAATAGTTCTTTTTCTTGTCATAACTTCCAGGTGCTACTGCTGAGCAAATAGGAACATCACTGCCAGGAGTATTTGAAAAGAACAACAAAAAAATTGATTTGGACAATCTATGTGCTCCTGTCATTGACACAGACACAACTGTGACCAGGGGTATGACTAGGGTCACAGCGCAGTCAACTGAAAAGCACCCAGAAATTCTCTTTTGTCATCAGCTTTTCACACTAACCGCTCCTGATTACTGCAGGCAATATATAAGTTTTCATCAAATACCAAGATACATTGAATAGTATTTGCAAGTTGGCCTTATAATTTTCCCAAGGGATAGCTACTTCTGCCAAAGAAAAACAATTCAAATATGAAGTTCGAATGGTTAGCATATCTTTGACATATGAGGATTTCTTGATAACATGGAACTATAAGCCTATTCATTACCAACAATTGTATGAGTTGCATCTGAAACTGAGTAAAAATACTCTCCTCCCGAGATTTTTAAGGTTGATATTAATTTTATTATTAAAAATAACTTAGTCTTACAATTATTATAAAGAGATCAATTATTATAACAAGGCAAAGGCTATCTAGGTTCGTAAAATACTTCTACGAGTAATGCAGAAAATCATTTAAATAAAGAAATATGTGGTACAAAAATAAAAGACACTGAATACATTTTGCCCATCTTGTGATAGAATCCTAAACTATAAATAAATTAACTTAAATATCTGTTAAGAACCACAAGCACAGTCAAAGCAGCACTATTACATATGAGATTCACAGACCAATACTGCTGAACAACACCTTAATTAAATAATTTCCCTTAATATAAGTAGAATTATTTCTAAAAATTCTTTTAACAGGATCTCTTGTGCACAAGAGTTCAATATTTCATATTTTCTTTCAAAGTTATTTACCAATATTTAGTCATAAACGCAGCTGCGAGGACACACATGGAGAACTAGGACATCTCTGAAGAACTAAATATATTTCCTTTAGTTGGTCAATGAGAAAAACATTCCTGGAGAAAAAATTAAATAATTGCTAAAGAGGCAAGTGTACATGTATTAAGGTTTTATGTAACACCTGAGAAACTTTAAAAATCTGCTGATGATCTGAATTTTGAATTTTTGGCAAAACAGACCACAAGGAAAAAGAAAACCTTTTTCTTTGCTTGTGCCTAATACAATCAAAGCATAAAAAAGGAAAAGTTCACCAATGACAATATGTCAGGCATTAGTGAAAATATTCAGAAACAATAAGTTCAAGGACATATAACTCAACAAGCAATGCTATCCATGTTCTCCAATGCAGATTTTGAAAAGACCGGATTCCTTTTCACATTTTTACATTTACAGACCACAAATCCTGTGTGCAGTTTTTAGAGGTTCACTGGGAGTCCTCTAAAGGTTTCTTTGTCATTTAATATTATAAATAATTATGTTCCTAGGCGGCAGTTCAAAGCTCAGTATAGCACTCGGTACAACACCACAGGCAGGTCAGGTGACCTTTCTCCAATTCTCCTCTCTCTGGTGCTGAGGACGGACAAAGTGATATGTCTGTCATACGCCATTACCATTAGAACAGAATCTTGTTCTTTTATTACAACTGAACTCCGCC